CCCCCCAAGGCTGCAGGAGCAGTGAGACAGCTGCTCTGCCCAGGGGAAGGATGCGGGCGTGTTCCCTCCCCACAGCCCTGTAATGGAAAGGGCCCGTTACATCGCTCTTGCCTGCTGGTCTCAGAATGAGACGTGTCTGATTCATCCTTCCGCAGACGCGCCCAGGCACAGCAGAATGCAGTGGACTGCCTGGGGTGGGACAGAGCCTGGTGTCTAATCACAGCCAGAGTCTCTCGGGGAAATGCCCTGGAATAGGAAGTGTCTGAGCAAATCTGCGCTGCAGACATTGGCCCCTGTGCCCCGGGCAGCTGGGGGATGGGAGAAACGTGTGCGCAGTGTGAGGGTGGGTGACAGCTGGGCCCAGGAAGCTGCACTGTGTTGCATAACCCCTGACCTTGGGGGCAACCCTATCCCCCCTCCCCCCCGCCATCCTCAGAGCCCTTCAGTGGGGGGCACGCCCCAGGGGAGAAGGTGGAGGAGCTGTATTGCCTGTCCCATTCAGGGGATTTCTGGGGCAGTGGTGGATCCCTGAGGACACGGTGGGCATTCCCTAGAACTCAGTGCCCGCTGTGTGTGGAGCTGTCCTTCCTACTGGTGCCCTGCTGTTGGCTGGCAGCTCACATGCCTCTGCAGGGAGGCTCAGCTGCCGGCAGTGCATCATGTTCCCCTCCAAGCTGGGTCTGTAGCCACCCACTCTGTGCCTCTAGACACTCGTGGTACTGAGGTGGGTTCAGGCCAGTGAGGGTGCTCATTGGGGAGGGGGCTCTGAGAGCCTTTCTCGTCCCCCGCCCTGCAAACTTGCAGCTGGCCCTAGTGCTCCCCTGAGCTCTGGAGAGGAAGCGGCTGCCTGGGTTGCCACCATACCGACTTACATAAGCATCCTGTCTTGCCACTTCAGTGAGCTGAGCTGCCTTGCGATTGGTAGGCACAGCCTGGCCAGGCTATGGAAGGGGGGCCAGCTTGTGGAGGGGGCACGTTCGCCCTCGTCGGGCATTGAGGAGAAGGGAGGATCTGCAACGCAGCCTCAGGGACTCAGGAGCTTCAAGCCCTTCTGAAGCAAAGCAGTCCCTTTCCGTGGCGCCGTGACCCGCAGGCTGCTCCCCTTGGCTTACCCCAGCTGCTCGGCCTGCAGATAGATCAGTCCAGGCCCTGAGTCCAGATGACCTGAGCTAGTGTGACCTCCCGGCCTGTGCCCGAATCTGGAGCACACTGGGGCTTGTGGCACTAGGAGTAGAGCCCAGGAATTGCGGGGGCCAGCAAGGTCAGCAGCTGGTGGGACCGAAAGGGAAGTGCTGCCTGCATGAGTCTCCCCTGGGTGCAATGCGCTGATGGCCTCGGGGTTCTGGTCCCTTCCAGATGCTGGCTACGAGTTCGACATCTGCTTCACTTCTGTGCAGAAGCGGGCGATCCGCACCCTCTGGATGGTGCTGGATGCCATTGACCAGATGTGGCTGCCTGTGGTGAGGACCTGGCGCCTCAATGAAAGGCACTATGGTGGCCTGACAGGCCTCAATAAGGCCGAGACGGCTGCCAAGCATGGGGAGGCCCAGGTGAAGATCTGGAGGCGCTCCTATGACATTCCTCCCCCTCCCATGGAGCCAGACCACCCCTTCTACAGCTCCATCAGCAAGGTAAGAGGGAGCCCACGGCTCTGCCTTCTCCCCCCGGCCGAGCACGGGCCCCTGGTTGAGAAGGTTGGCTGGCACATGAGGGTCACTATTCTGCGGGGTCCTGGGGGAGTAGGCGGGGGGAGGGGTGCTACTGCATAGAGCTGGGTGAGGCTTATTGGGCAAATGCTTTATTTACCAAAAAATGGAGCCACAGAAACGCAACTACCGGATAACCTTAGGCTTGTTCAGTAGCCGACTGCTCACTCGCATCCCTAGGCCAGCAGTCAAACCAGACAGTCCCTGGACAAAGTCAGGGCGGAGCTGCATGCCAAAGAGCACAGTGGGGCAAGAGGTGCCCAGCGCCAGTCCTCCTCCCATGGCTCGTGGTCTCTGCGGGACCCCACGAGTTACCTCCCTGCTCTGAGACCTGACCAGTTATTCCTGCCCTTTGCTTCCTCTTAGCCAGTTGCCAGTCCACACAAGGCCCTTCCCTCTCATCCCAAGGCAGCTTCCTTGGCTGGAGGCTTTCTGGGACCCTCAGTCCACTAGGGCCACTGGCTGCCCTTGGCCACGTGCCTAATGATCTCAAAAGCCAGCTGTGCTAACTGCTGGCCGGTCTCAGTCTCTGCTCGCTGTCCCGTCCCAGTACTGGTGGCACTAGGCACTGCAGACAGTGGCATGAAGCCCTAGGATGCTGTTCATCATGACAGTCCAGTGCCCCTCTGGGTCTGCCCGCTCCGTAGCGAGAGCCCAGCTGCAGGTGAACTCAAGTCCACTAGCCCTGGGAACTAGAAGAGGCGTCCTGGAGCTGGGTCACTAAATGGCAGCAGAGACCAGGAGAGCAGCATTCCGGGGCATGGGTGTAGCTGTCAGCTGGGGGCAGCGTGCCATGGGCTCAACACATGTCACTCGCCCGGATTGCTGCCCGTGTCCGCGGTGACTCGGCTCTCGCTGCTGTTCCAGGAACGCCCTTACGCTGACCTTACCGAGGACCCGC